TAAACAAAAAGTTCAGAGCTCCCTTTATTTTGCTTCCAAGTCATTTATTTTAAATTTAAGGGTTTTTTTACTCAAACTTCCTTCTTACAATTAAGGTGCGTGTTATACGCCTGTGCATGTTATACGCCGATAAATATGGTATATGGTGACTGTCTGCAGTAGTAAGCCTCTTTATGCATGGAAACTACCTAGTGATCAGGGATCCTGATTTTTCAGAGTACTTATTCATGTGGAGAGCTTCCATGGACAGAGGAAGTTCTTCAGTGTAAGACCTTCACAGGCAAAAGGCAAAAAGAGGACAAAGCTAGTGTGCTTCCTTCCATATCCTTTGAAGAAACTACAGGGTCTCCTCTCCATCTTCTCCCTGTTTCAGCCATCTTCTTTCATTATTTGCAGTTCCCACCAATTTGCTCACTTTCATGAGTTTTCCTTTGTTATTCAGATAATACAAGACTCTTCTCTGCTCCTTCCAAAGTCACTGGTAATTATTTGGAGGAAAAGCTTAATCTATCTTTCAGGTCCTAGTCAGGTTGAGTTTGGGCCTTTTGTTGGAGCTGCCTAGTTGACAATGTAAAGCATGCAATGCCTGCAGTGTTCCCCCGGTTGATTCTGTTCACTCCTGAGCACATGTGATGTTTCCTAGATTGTACATTTCTGGTGGCCCTGTCCCTGATTTGTTGTGTGTGTTGTGCTGTGCCTGTTTTTTCTTCCCTGAAAAAAAAATGCTAATTTGAATGCCGTAATTATCTGAAGCCCTCTTTAGATAATTTCTAGAGGGATGGTAATGTTGTCTGTTACAGCAGAAACAACAAAGCCTCCTACGGCACTGTAAAGGCTAACAAATTTATTTTAGTGAAGTAGATATAATTTATGCCAGAATAAATTGGATAGTCTCTAAGGTATAACAAGACCTGTTCTTGTTTATACAACTGGTAATTTATTTATAATAAATCCTTTGTTTTATCTCTGTTTTCCTATGTATTTGGAGGCTGGGAAAGGAGATAATCAGAGCAGAAATAAGAATTGGCAATTGTTGATACAAAAAATTACATGAAAATTTCTGAATTCAGTTTTTTCATTTGAAAATATCTTTGTGGGTATAAGGGAAGGGGAACAGTTGATTTTTCCAATGCCCCCCTCTCCTTACATCTTCCTTCTCTGTACTAGACAGCGTGAGAAATGATGCTCTGGCTGCAGTATGAAGCAGCAATCTGCTTCCTCTTCCCATTCCACCAGCATTGACAGATCGGTGACTCAGGCTTCACACTTTAAAACCACAGTGATCTTTGAATAATTAAGAGGCTGAAACACTGTGAAGGCCTTTATTTTTGCAAGCAAAGTGGTCGTTTTAGCATCTCTGTAGGTAGTATCTATGATCAACTTTGTTTAATTGACAAGCTTTTCATTTCTCATTTGTTCAGTTAGTTTATACATTTTTACCAAAACCTTAATATATTAAATTGCACAGTGCTATGTTTCTGAAATTAGTTGTCGTTTTTTATTTTAAATACCTTATTTCAGGATGTGATGCAGCAAGCTACAAACGCTATCCTGAGGGGTGGCACAATTCAAGCTCCAACAGTTTCTGCAAAAACTATTGCAGAGCAACTAGCTGAGAAGATCAACGCCAAGCTCAATTATGTGCCCATAGAAAAACAAGAAGAGGAGAAACAGGAGGGGGGACAAAATGAATCCTTTAAGAGATATGAGGAAGAACTGGAGATCAATGATTTCCCTCAGGCAAGGATTGCTTTTCTCAATTTCATTTAAATTGCACAGGTTTTTAGTTGCCATAACTCTTCTTATAGTAATGTTTATCTGCTCCCATGTAACTATTTCTTCCTGAGTGCACTTCATGTTAACCTAGAGTATTTGTGACAAAATAGAAGAGGGAAACTTTACCATTGAACCACATAATCTTGGACTTCAGTGGGATGTTTTTTCTGTTGTGTTTCTGTTGCTTGTTTGATGTGTATAATTTGGCTGCAGATTTAATTTTTATAGAATGTTGTTGATTATAATCATATTGTATTTTTAAAGCTTAGTATCAAAATAAAAATACTCTCTACCTTTAATAAATGAAATCCACAAAATCCTGGGGGGGGGCAATTT